AGAGAGAGAGAGAGAGAGAGAGAGAGAGAGAGAGAGAGAGAGAGAGAGAGAGAGAGAGAGAGAGAGAGAGAGAGAGAGAGAGAGAGAGATTATCTATCTGACCACGATTGGGGTAACCACGTGTGCAACAACAGTGTCTGGGCAGGTGTGTGTGAGTGCGGGCAGGTTGGGTAGTTCCGGGTGAGGTTTAAACCACCAGTACTTGGCCCAGATATCGGCCGCCAGAAAAAATACAGTAGAACGTTTCTAGTCGGATGAATTTGGGCGCTCCTGTAGTAGCCCATACGTTTCCTTAAATCGTGGCGCGTTAACGGGCACTCTAGGAAGTACTGGTGGTTTAAGTAGGTCATGGGTGCGGGTAGGTCTGGGAGTGTTCAAGAGTGTGGGCGGGTCTGGGTGAGGCTTTTTTCCGGGTGTCGGGTGGGTTGGGCCCGGGGTGAAGGTGGGAGATTTTGAAAAATAACAGGGCAGGCTGGGTCGAGGTGAGACGGAAATAATAACGAATGGGTGAGGATGGGTCAGATTAAAACAAATCTAGGGGGGTCAAGTGTGGTTGAAGGTAAAACAAAAAATGCTCACCTTTGCCAAGAAGTGCAACAATAGCTGATATTTGCATGATTTCCCCGATACAGCAAGGATAAGGTTTCTTCCGGCAGCACTCAGGGCCTGGGAATAACAGTTTGGGGGCATGGTCCCACTTGGCCGGATCCTGTGTTCCTGGCCGTCAATCCTTGTGATCTACGGTGCACAATGACAAATAGGGACAGGTATGGGCCACCGGAGTTCCTACTGATATTCGGGTAGAAATGTCTAGTGGCTATATATAAGGCTTAGACCCTGGGGTAAGGGTAGGGGTATAAGTCGCTCACACCAGTCCGAGTTCCGCCTGGCCTTGGGTAACCTAGGGGAAGGACGGTAACACTGCTTCAATGGGCGCTACCCTGTCTGAAACCGAGGGCCCAGACTCTGAGTCTCTTGGGCCCTGTAGTAGATTGTCTGGGCCTGGCGTCCGAAGTTCCCGTTCGACAAGGCTCATCCGATTCTGCTTCCACCAGGGCTGGGCAACCTATCAGCCCTGGTGCCTATCACTGCTGTTCGGTCCAAGTTACCTGCCCATTGGTAGGGTAATGGTCCTGAGTGCTGGTCACACTGAGGTAGGATAGTGGGATAGGGGATGCGCTAGGAGTATTGACGTGAGGATGGGATCGGAGGTGGTCTCATATTCCAGGACACCCACGGCCAACTGCTCCAGGTGATCACTGTGTACTTAGTGACTGGCCTCTCCAACACCATGGACTTTCAAAAAAAAAAAAAAAAAAAAAAAAAAAAAAAAAAGTGAGTGGGCCTCGGCTCAGAATGTGACCATACATTTTTAGGGTTTGCCGCTTGTTCATTCTTTTAATTTTCTCACAGTGCATTCACCCAAATTGAGGTGCCTTCCTGAGAGGGGAAGGGGGAAAAGGAAGAAGGAGATTAAAAAACAAGCCTACACAACCCTTCCTTTCTTCCCCTTTTTTCTTAAAATAATAAAATGTCCCTTCTTCGTCTTTTATCTTTTCTGAGGAGCATGCCCACCTGGATGATGTTTTGTTAACTGTATGTTGGTCGTCAACGGTCTGGTAGGTGCCTTTGTCAGCCAACTGTTTGTCTGTCTGGCTGTCAGTCAGTCTGTCTGTCTGTTGGCTGCTTGGTTGCTTGGTTGGTTGGCTGGTCAGGACTCCAAGTGCGAGATCCCACTTATCTGGATTCTCAGTCTCGAGCCGTTGATCTGCCGGATGTACAGTCCGAAGTACGAGGTCAGTCCATAAGTCTACCTGTCCGTGCGTCAAACACAATGAGCCCTGCTGGGCTATGATCACGCTACCCATTTATATTTTTCATGACCCACTTTGAAGGTCACATCCAGTTATAATGACCACGCCGTCTATTTGGGCAGAAGATGGTAGACCAGTGAAACCCTCAGCCTGTCAACCATCTTCAACCCCTCGCTCAGGCATAATAGCTGTATCCGAGGTTGAAAGTCCAACCTGGTCCATGCGCCGGTCAACAGTTGGAACTGATCAGTGTGCTGGTCAAAGGTTGGATCTGGTGGTCTGTTTGCTAGTCAACACTGTAACATGGACCCTGATCCGGGCTGTGATGGCCAGCACAATTATATCCCTGAGCGATTCAACGCTCAGTGTGGGGTGAAAATTCATAAAGCAGACTGCAATGCATATTGAAAGCAGGGAGTCCCCGAAACAGGATCCTGTGCTGACGACTGCAAATCCCAACCACTGCAAAACACCTGCCCTCAACGATGCAGTCACAGCTCAGAGACATCTACAGGACTCTGGATTGGGCCCTCAGCCCCAATTCATACAAGCAGAGCTCCGTCCTCAACTACTGCAGCAGACAGAACTGGAGCAGGCACCAGATGGGGGCATAACTGTGACAGGACTGGGCACCCCCCTCCAGCTCCAAGGACGGGTCACACAGGCAGGGGATGGAGGACAACAGCACAATATTGGTGTTCAAGTAAGACCAGTCACAATGGCTAACACAACTACTCTGCAGCAAGAATATGGGCAGGGGAGTGGGGGGGCAGGGGAGCACAAATCTGAGATGGGCCGATATATGCTTGCTGAGAAAGACACGACCATGGCTGCCCAGTGGCGGAGGCAGAGAGAACAACAGCAGTTCCCTGAAGGGGGCAGCGTTGACCCTAAAGTGGATAAGGAAACCCAGCAAAAGCAGCAACTCCCCTCCCCCCTAACCCAAGCGTACATTATGCAGGGACAGAGGGGTAGGGAGGCTCTACAAAAGGCCGTAAGACAGAAGACTGTAAATCGCAATTACCAGGTAAGTAGGGGGGGGCAAAACTGAACCTGAGGCAGGCACAGGGAAAGCCCTCACCCCTCAGGGAATATGGTTTAAAGCCAATTCCCTGCTTAATAAAATCAAGGATGCTGCTTTTGCCCAACATTGGGATCAGTCACCGGCAAGGCAACATGACCAATCCCCTCATACGCCTAAAGACAAACTGCTACTAGCTGACCACCAAAAACTGCAGAGTCACTCCCCTTCAATTCCACAGCCTCAGACAGGACACCTCGACCAAAGGGAAGGGGGACGCTGCAGGATGACCCCCCGGGACAGGGCGGGCGGGAGCAACCTGAGGACCCGCAAAATCAAACTGCAATCACAACTCGACCGTCACCTGCCCGCATGAAAGAGGTAGTCTCAGAACTGACAGGGGAGATCAAGTTCCTTCCCTCCAAACTGCCCCAGAAGCCCTCGCGGTCGACACCATCCCAGCCCTCCGCCGCCCTATCTGAGGAAGACAACAACACCGCCAAAGTCAAGGAACCCACCCTCCGCCGCCTTGTCTGAGGAGGAGAACAACACCGCCAATGACAAAGAGCCCGGGGTTGTGCAATGCTGTCAACAACGGCAACAACAACAACAAGATCATTTGCTGTCCACCATAGAACAACAGCAACCACAACTGCAAGTGAATGCACAGTCTTACCTAATGCAGTGCCACGTGCAAGCCCGGGAGGCACAACAGCACACCCAACTACAGCAAGCTGAGCAGCAAGCAGCACATTGTCAACAACAATTGCAACCAAGGCAGCAACAATCCCAAATGAACCAGGTGGTGCATGGCCAACAGCAAAGCCAACAGCAGATGCAATCTCAGCGGCAGGGGCAACACCTGTTGGCACAGCAGCAACAACAAGAGCAAGCCAGGGAGCCACAGCAGCACATTCAAATACAACAAGTGGTGCAGTATGAGGCACAATGCCAATAATTCCTGCAAGCACAGCAACAACAAGCCCAAGTGCACCACGATGGGCAATGCCAACAGCAAAAGTCAATGCAGCGGCAACAGCTGGTGCAACAACAACAGGAGCAAGCACGGGAGGCACAGAACCAAATCCAGCTACAACAAACTGTGTACCAAGCTGTGCAGCATGCGGCACAATGCCAACAACAGCAACAACAACAATGCCAACAGCAAATGCTAATGCAGCAGCAACAACTGGCGCAGCAACAACAGGAGCAAGCGTAGGAGGCACATCACCAAATCCAGCTGCAGCAAGCTGTGCAGCACGCGGCACAAGAGCAACAACAGCAATAGCAACAATGCCAAGTTGCCAACAACAAACGTTAATGCAGCAGCAACAACTGCCGCAGCAACAACAGGAGCAAGTGCGGGAGGCACAACACCAAATCCAGCTGCAACAAGTTGTGCAGCATGCGGCACAAGGCCAACATCAGCAACAACAACAATGGCAACAAGATCTTCTGCACCAACACATATACGCCCACTCGTTGCACCAAGCACAACTGCATGTCTGCCAACAGCACCACCAACAGATCCAACAACACACGGAGTGCAAGGACCAGGTCCACCTCTTATTACGAGCTCAGCTGGCACAGTACCACCACCAGCAACACCAACAGAGGGTGCTCCACCAACAACAAATCTTGCAACACCTCCACTTGCAGTGGCAGCAAGTTGCCAGCAACAGCTTCGTTGTGAACGGGAGCTTATCTTGCAACAACAGCAACAACAGTTGCGGATGTTTTGGTAGCCTGAGCAGGAAAGACAAATGCAACAGCAACTCCAGGCACTGACCAGTCCGATGCAGCCTACGGCTGTTGTGCTTCTGGGTACTGACAAGGATAAACCGGAGACCCAGGATATGGATACCTCGGCCCCAGACAAGCTCTCGCCGAACACACAACACCAAGCCCTGTTACAGGTGAATGCTGACGTCGAAATGACCCGGACTCTGGCCCCGCTTGAACAGGACAGTCTGCCCCCTCCCCCTCCTCCGTTGGCAGCCAATGAGGAGGTTAAACAGAAGTTGGCCTTCCTGATGGAGTGGACCCTTGCCAAGATATTTTCCATGTCGGCGGATGGAGCACAGGACAAACTTGCTAACAAACCTTGGGTCGAGCCCAAAAGAGTGCTAATGTTCAGCCCTCGCGTGCTGGCCACTGTTGAAAAATATAAGGACATCACGTCCATTGATGGATGGACGTGGGAGCGACCATTGTCCTCGTGGTCAATGAGTTTTTGGACAAAATAGGGGAGGCTGCAACTAACACACTCTGTCAGAAACAAACCGCACATGACTCGGGTTGGCCGGACCCCCAAGAGGAGGCTTTCCTCCACGAGGGTCTGGCTTGGCCCAAGCTGCTGGTCCAAGAACTTTGCACCACCCTGCACGCCCCCCCCATTGCTGCACCCATCTATCTGGAGGAACAACAGACTCGCCCCCCTGCAAGACAGGGGGGGCCACAAACCACGGAGATACACAAAGACCACATAATGATTGTGGTCACCATCCCCCGGTCTCAGTGTTAGCATCAGAAAATCCAGATTGTGCATGACGACGAACGATGACACCTCGCCAATAGACTTGGAAGCAGACACACTTAAGGACCGTCCCCCCCGAAAACTGAATGATAGGGTGAGACTCCAAGTGGTAGACGACGTCACGGTGGAAACTCCTCCGGGAGTGGTCATACTTCCACTGACCA